GGAACAAACCTTGCCGTTTTCATCCAGTCGGACATTCGCCTCAGCGAAAGCGGCACTCAACTTGTCCGTAAGATGCGGTAATCGTGTACTCGCACAGCAAGCACGTAACTACACGATTCGATCGCGGACGTAAAACGTTTGCCATCGCAACAACAGGAAGAAGGCTGCTTAGCGGTCCACGGTAAAGAAAGAAAAATAGAACACTCACCACTTCATGCCCTCCATCCGCACCAGCCGTAGACGACAAGGCTGCGGCGGTTCCATCCTCTCCGCCGCTTGACTCCGAAACGGAACCGGTCCCGCCGACGTTGCCGACGTCACCGACGGCGCCGTCGTTTCTAGAGCCCCCTACTGCTGCCGTTGCTACCGCTGCCATCAGAGAGGGTCGATTGCTCGAGAGGAACTCCATGTCCGTCCAAACGTTGGACTGGAGAGCCTCCACGATGCGAGGGACGCCTTCCTTCTCTCTTAGCTCTCCGCCTATTCCGGGGGGGGGCAGCGCACCCACGACGACCACCGTTACATCAGTGACAGATAAACAAACGAGTTGGGGTCAGGTCGGCGGCGCACTTCAGCAATCGATTTCGTGGCAATTTAGACCTGGTGCATCTCTCGTCGAAAGCAAGTCCTTCAGGTGTAACTCCTAGCACGGGTTTACAACACGATTCCTGTGGGATGCGATTGTATCGTTACGGTGGTACCCTGCGGCGTGGCCAAACGACGAAAATAATAAAATAACCAATTTCTTGACGCTAGGAACCCCGCCGGTAAAGCAAAAAAGGAAAGTGCGTTGTAGCTAAAGTAGCTCGGGGCAAAAAATAAGCACACAGGTCTCGTCTCTGCACGCGTTCCGTTCGGTGACGACGGAAGCCACCGCAACTTCTGCTCAGGCCCCTTTTTCCTCAACATCTCCACCCCACCCGCGCCCCTGTTCTAACATGGCAGGAGACAACAAAAAAGGACACCACATGCCTCCCCCTCATGGACACCATCCGACAGCACGCCTTGACAAGACGGCATTACAGTATACCTGTGTTCGAGTCCCTGCAGTCAGCCTCCACATACTCGAAGCCGTGGTCCAGACACCACCCCAGGCAACGCCTCCGTCTCTCCCGCAGACCCTCAGCAGCAGCAGCAGCAGCAGCAGCAGCAGCAGCAGCATCGCCTTCCAAGCCGCTCTCCGCAGGCTCCAGAGTGGTTTCCGCTCCTGTCCCAAAGCCGGCACCGTCTCCTGGGTCTTGCGGTAACAAATCGAGCTGTAGTAGCCCCGAGAATTGCCACCCGGCAAGGCCAATGGCAGGCGAAGTCGGGGGATACAAGAAGAGGCGGGAAAAGGTTATGAGATGCTGTCCCATACGTCGCGCCCTGGATGGTAGCGATACAACGCCACAAAGATGCAAACTCGGAGCAGTCACCGTCAATTTCTCAACGCGCATAGCACGAGACTATATAAAGAAGACGAAATGAGTTGTTCTGGTCGTGGCAATGGCCACAGCCGCAGCATTTAGGATACCTTGCTTCCCACGCAAACTCGAAAGGCGCATTCCTCCCTATCTTCCATGAGAGCTGCCCACTGAGACGCCTCGTCAAAACCAGATTCCTGGAATAGGCGGAGGCGGGGGGAACGAGCGATGACAGCCCAAGAAGACAAAGAGTAAGCTTTTGAAGGCGGGGTGGGTGTGCGGCGGAGAGCGTCTCGCTCCAAGGATAACGACTCAGGAGGAAAATGGTGGCGGGTGCTGTTGGGATATCCTCTGCTTCAACCGAGAAACTGGTGTGATGCAAGCGACAAGGTTGCCCTCCTTCAACCCGCCGCCTCGTTTCTACAACATGTCTCAGACTCTGTCAGCAGGAGTCACGGTAAGCCACACTCCCACAGGAACGGAAGTTGGTGGAGGACAACGACTAAGTGCACCTCCAAAACCAACCCCAATATAGTTGGTTTCCCAGGCGGTGACTACAGAACAGAGCGCGTGGTAGTTAGCACACACGGCATGAACAAGACGGCTTCAATGCTTGTTCATCAACTTGCATTGAAAGTAGCTTCCCCAACGTGGAAGCTGGCGCCAGAAACCGACCAACACATTCGATACGGATTGCCTACGCTAGTTAACCTGCTGGCTACACAGCTACACTGCACCTGTCGCAAGTCGAAGAGTACGATTATGCCTTCCAGCCCCTCAAGCTGCTCCGCGGATCGCAACGCCAGGATGGGCACGGCTGCTTGCGCCTGCCGCCAGAAGCTGATCTGTTTCAAGAAAAAAAAAGCAGCACCGTTTTGAACAAGCTCAAGACACTTGCTCTTGCTTGCAAAACCTCTTTCCCCCCGAAAAATACAAACGAGAACCCCGCTCCGGCGATCCTTGGTACAGTTCGTCCAAGCCTAAACACAATGTGTACGATGACGATGCTTTCATTTTACGGCGAAAAATGCACGTGTGCGTGAGCATACACTGGATGAATACCACGGTGCATTGTCGTCGGTCATCGTGTGTTTTTACGCGTCCTCTTGGGAGTGTACGTACCGTCAGGCGCCGAGTCATCCCACGGCGCCCCCAAGACCCGACAACTGCCAACGCTCATATTGCTCCACAACGAAGAGGGCGCGAAAACAGAACCGATACGTGCGAGGGATGGCTCTCCACGAGATCTTTCCGAAGCCATTGCCTTTTTTCGGAATTGGGGCAACTGGAAGAGGGAGCCATCGAACTTTGAAGGTCGGCCTAGGAGGTGTGCGACAACACGCACTCTTTATATGGTACGCATCGAGCACGCACATACGCAATTGGTTCCCGTGGAGTATTTGATTCGCAAGCCGAGCGTTCATTCGTGACTTGGACGGGCGCATGCACAGCAAAGGGTTGGCTGTCTGACTGCTACAGCAGCATTTCTTGTCCGTCGCATACACCCCTTTTCTTTTCGCGAGCATACATGTCCCAGGGAAACGGCGTTGCGAGACAAAGTATTCGAACACGTTTCGGAATCCACGGATATGCCATGATCGCATATACGTATTGTAGGAGGAAGGGATAAAAGGAGGAGGGGTTCAAATATCCTGTCAAAACCCACAACAGTCAGAACATCACCATCTAAGAAACCCGTACCGTGAACGTGAGCGGCCTGAGAATGTTACAGAGCCACTGTGAGCCTCAGCCCTCGCCCCCGCTACACTACGGTCCTTACCTGCGCATTGTAGTACTTGGTCGTGATGGAGGCCGGGAACACGTCGAACTTTGCGTTTGCCTGTTCCAGTAACACTTGGCTGAAATTGGATTTACGAACACCAGGCAGGACGCACGGTCGACGGCGGGGTAGCCAACATGCGGACGGTTACGCGCGGGACCGTTGTCTCTTGAACGAGCAATGTTATCAGAGCCAGCAGCAACTGCAGCGCGGAAGAGCTATACACGCGTTCTCTACGTGTGTGCAACTGCTGTAGTGGTCATGACCCCACCCGGAGTTAACATTCATGAATCGTCTACTTTAGAGACGCAGTACGCAGTGCAGCTGTAGTACAACATCGCAATCGTAGATCGCGTCATGCAGCCACAGTCCCTGAAGGACGCCCGCACAGCGGTACACTCAGTGAACCCCGAGAAGGCTCAAAGACGGCTGTCGTGTTCCTATTTGCACATGCACCTGTCTGGCATCACCATCACCGCTGGTGGCGAGGCTTCCTGTTGGCCTTCATTTCCTGCTGGGGAAACAGGATGTTGCTGCTGCTCTGCGTTGCTGCATCGTGGTAGGGAGTCTACCAGAGCTGGTCAGAGGGCCATACCGGGGGGGGTGCACGGACGGACAAGCAGACAGTCGCTCGCAGTCGAGTTACCGCAGCAAGCATTAACTTAGATTGTTCGTAGTACTACCATGGCGACGGCAATGGCTTTGTTCTCTAGGCTTCACACGCCGACAATACCACAGTACGGCTGAGGACAGCGCGTAGCCGGCAGTAGCCGGAATGCGGCGGAACCGACATTTTCAAATCAGTAACACGGAGTGCGGAGGAAAACCCACTGACCTTGAACTAGGGCCGTCTTCCCAGAGCCTGGCGATCCTACCACCAGTATTACCGACATTCTCTCTCTCTCTCTCTGTGTGTGTGTCTCTCTCTCGCTCTCTCTCCCTCTCTCCCGGTGTGTGTGGTGTGTGGGTTGTTTCCTGGCCTGTTTGCACTTTGCACTCACGAAGTCCCGCGTGGCCCCCATCCCCCTATGAATCACGGAGCCCCCAGGCCTGGGTAGCATCCACCGCACCTTAGCACTTGTCACTTCAACCATTTGCACTTCTGCCATCCCGCCCTCCTGGGCACCCGTCTTGTAATCCTGCGCCAGTGGTATTCAGTGGCGATAGCAGTGGAGCTTTGAAGCTGTTTGTGTCCCTGTCAGCCGTCTACCGTCGGCCGAAAACCCACAGCACAGCACACGCTTATTGCGCCGCATCTGCAAATCCCCGAGGTATATTCCTCGCACACCGCACTGCCGTTGGGTTTGCCTACGTGCATCTCTCATGCCCCCTGTGAGACTGCTGGCACTGACTGTCTGCGGTTGCCTTTCCTCTGCTTTACGGAGACCTGTACGTCCCCAGCTGCACCGCTGCCACTATCAACAACACCAATATCCAACCTCATCATCCGCTGTTCACGGTATTCATTTCAAGAGCATGGCGTCAACAAATGCGAGCCCTATTACCGCTGGAACAACAACATGTAGCAGAGATAGCAGTGGCAGTGTCGAAGGATCCGCTTCGCTCGGCCTCGACACCCCTGCCGGGATATATCGGTATCTCCGTGGTCGATGGGGACTCGAGAAGACCATCGACTACAAGGCCGGGGGAATGGCGGGGACCTGGAGAGGAGTCGCAACGTTCTCCCCCCAACAGCAAGCTTGCGACAGAAGCAACACAAGTAAGGAAGAACGAGAACAAAACCACGATGGTGATGGTCAGGATAAGATGGACCACAACTCTCCACTCCTCCTGCGCTACAAGGAACAGGGAACCTTTCGAGTGAACGGCGAGGGCGCCGGCTTCGAAGCCGGGCAGAGGCTGGTCTACGACTGCAGCGGCCCCGTCGTGCGCGTTCACTTCGTCGACGACCCGAAAAAGCCCGATGCTCTCCGATTTTTCCACGAACTCGACTTTCAAACAGCAAGCCCGGACGAGACAACAGCAGGGGCTGGAACGGACGGGAAGGCAGGCGGTTCGGGGGTGGCGGTGGCAGCGGGGGCTAGTTTTGCGCCGCCGCCGCCTCGAGCGGAGTTTGAGCACCTGTGTGTCCGAGACATGTACAGGGGGGACGTGGAGGTGGTCGGGGCAAACGAGTTCAAGACGAGGTACGAATTAACCGCGGTTGTTGCACGTCATCTTGCTCGTTTTTTTAGGATACTTCGAGTGAGGACAGCGGTGTACAGAATCACAACGCTGCCTGATCGTCACCACGAGCCTCGAACGACCTTCATTTGTTTTTCAGAACCCTGCCACAAGCATGTGGATATGAAGTGAAGGTGAAAGCGTTGAGGTTTTTGTTATACCGCATACCAAAACCAGCAGTACCAGGTGAAGTACCTTACTTTCATTTGGTTGCTGGTGTTCATCAACGGTAAGTTGGATTTGTCTAGTGCGTCGCCTGTAAGACGTGAAACCGGCGACGTGCTTGACCTGAGTAAAAACGCTCTGCCCCTTTGCGCCAGCACTGGCATTTGGCCAACCGGCAAGAACCTCTATTCTGAGGGTTATTATTCGACACAGCACCCGCCAGTTTGCTGTTGCACTCCCAACAGTGCCCTCATTGTATGCACCGCGACTCTCTCGTCACAGTTGGCACGTTACGGGGCCGCAGAAGGATGGCCGCATAAATGCCATCTTTAAACGGAGACTATCCGAGGAAGACGATTAACAAGACCGTTCCATGACGGACAGAGAGGGCCTGCTGCCAGCCTTGATTAGTTTGAGCAGTCGTGCAAGTTCCTGTGGGTTATGGGGTACTGCCGCAAGAGCGGCAAAAATATCGGCAGCTCTCCTACGCTCAGACAAAGCTAGCTACTGAAGCATGGAAACCACCCATCCGGATACTGCGGCGATTATGCTGTTTTCTGGAGCATTAGCCAGACAACCGGAAGGGTGACTGCCGAAGAATGATGTTCGGCGACATCGTGAGGGGGGAGGACCCAGGCAGGGGGTGCCCGGAACAGAGTTGGGCGAAATGCTTGAAGGACGACTTCCAAAAGTTCGATGATACAGTTCGTTGTCGTTGATTCACAGGGAGTTAGACATACACTTCGTATTACGGTAGACAGAGAGAGCCGGCTGCGTGCATGTGCGCAGTACATATCAACAACGGAGTCGCTGCGACACGGTCTAAATTGAGTAGAGCGACCGTTGATCGCAAGTATGCCCTGATGGTAGTCTTTTTTGCGGCCTGTATGACGCTGCTGCCATGGCATGTGAGGCACGCGCGGTTGCGGGGTGGATCGGTGACGGGAAGAAGGATGGATATAATATGTATTCCAGTCGGCAAACAAATATCTTCAACAACATTCCCTTGGTGGATGAATGCCTGCACCACAGCAGTCCAGTGACTATGATCCGCATGTTTACCCAACGCTAATTCAATTTTGGTTTTGACTTCATCGCACCCCGATGTCCTAGCTGGGCACCCATGCATGAACTGCAAGGACACACCCACATCGATTCGACACGCTGTTTGTTGCTGATCCTCATGTGTATGCCTCGCTTAGTCCGCGTTTATACGTGGAGAGCGGAGAGTGGTATTTGGAGGGCGGAGAGAGAGAGAGAGAGAGAGAGAGAGACCGAGAGAGAGTGAGACAGAGAGAGAGAGGTAGAGACAGAGAGACAGAGACAGAGACAGAGAGACAGAGACAGAGAGACAGAGACAGAGACAGAGAGAGACAGAGATAGAGATAGAGAGAGACAGAGACAGAGACGGAGAGAGGAGTTCCACTCGCACGTACTTGAGGTCGTGCGTGGATAACTCTCCGCAGTTCTCAGAAGAGGTATTGGGCGTTGACATTTGGGCCGTTACAAAGTCCGATTTGAGCCTACACGACTTACAGCACGCCTTGACCTTCCAAACTGGCGAGGCAAATGTTCGATTACGCTTCACTACAGCCCCCTACAAGCAACTCAAACCAATTCAAACAGGCCACACGCTTTGCAGGAGTAGCGTGAAAACGTCCGATGTTGGCAGAGCATCAAGCAGTCTTGGGCAGCCTACACAACCTTTCAGAAAAAAACTCTACGCACTTGTCTGTGAAGTTTTGAACCTGGAAGCGGCGAACACCAAAGAACAGCGGATCGACGAATTCCTCTACTACTAATCTTTCGCGAGCTCGACAGGGCCTTCAAGGGTCTTCACCGGACGTTGAAAAGAGAAAAATCTCTGTCTGATTTCCCTCTACGGGAGACTCGCGTTTCCACAAGACAACTTCAGCTGTATTTGCCCGCAGCGCAAGCAACCATTCCATCGTTCGCCTTACGGTACCTGAGTGTACACGCCCCGAGCAGAAACTGGAGCACCATCGTTTCATCCTGTGCCAAATCTTGGCTGTGTCCGCGTTGAACTTTCTCAGCAAGCACAACCAACTGCAGGTTGACGCTGCCGACACAAAGTCTGGCTCATTTCAAAGCTTGGCTTTGTCGACCGTTGTAAAAGCACTCCAAGACGACAAAAGGTGGGGCGGGGTAAGACACCCCGCTCAGTGACGCCGTCAAAACCCCCAACGAACGACACGAACGAGTAGCGAAGTAATAAGAGTCTGACACCATACCAGAGTGGGTGTACTGCTGTGGCGTGGTCCAACGAAGAAACACTTCGTTATTATTATCCATTTGTATGTGCATGGTATATATGGTACCATCTTGCGCGTTTTCGTGCTTGGGGATACATATCTTTTCGCTGGCAGAAGCGAGACTTTTCTCACGCTTCCTTCTCAGGGGCACGCAGGGGGGGTCGTCCGTACACTTCCGCGTACGCCCGAGGACCACCAATCGCCGGTGGCTAGCGCTTGTGCTTGACGCCCAAAGTTGAAAAAACTGGCTCTACATTCCGGGGATGTGTTCCACGCGAAGAAAGCCTTCGCAAGAAATACAAAAATGTTGTGCAGACAACAGGAAGACTTTCGTTTTGATTCCTGTGCAACGCACACAAGTCCCACACGGACTTTTTTTTTTTTCTTTGCTTCAAATCAGTGCTCACAGCACTATAAGAGTGCCGTTTACTCCAACCAGTGGTCTCACAGATGAGCCCCTCTCCACCCTCCCCTCCTGCGGTACGTTGCCTTCGATTTTTAATGCGATAAGAGTTCAGCACTCTCTTCCCTCTGTGTACACGCCAACTAGCGCTACGGAAGCGAGAGAAAACTCACTTTGCAAGAAAAGCTCGCTTACGCCGGGATCCGGACCCCTGACCCTGACCTCTAAATAGAAGGTTTCGAGGATACCAACTAGACCACCGGGGCGACCGACCATGGACGACACGAATACATAGGCGCGAGTGATCAAACGCCACCGATTACAGCAGTAGGACCTGCGGCAAAGACGTCCCTAGCCTCAACGCACCTACTCACACACCCGCCAAAATTCACGGCGACAAAAAAAAATATCCCGCACATGATGCAAAATTCCAGGCAAACTCTGCAGGTTGTATGCAAAACCGGCACTCACGTACCGAACGTCATGACGTTGAGATGCAACGTTGCGACCGCGATGACATCGACCATGTCCTGTTGCCTCGCCCCCGGGAGGCAAGCTACCTATCTCCCGGAGAGAGTCTTGTGTATCTTTTATCATTACACTATTTCCTTCAGTATACACTATTTCTCAAGACGCCGGTCGGCTGTCTTGCTACACACAGCAGCAGCAGCAGCGGCAGCAACGGCAGCAGCAGCAGCAGCAGCAGCAGCAGCAGCAGCAAACAGCAACAGCAGCAGCAGCTTATGAAAAACGCCGGCATGCGTCGTTCCAGGAGCACAAACTCTTTGCTCTGCTACACGCAGATGTCTTGTACCTCACCGCCTCACCACGGGGCAGTCGGAACGTCGACAACAGCAAGAACAAGGAAGAAGAGCCATCATTGCCTGAGAGAAAAACGGCGACAAAAAAAGCACGCCACACCACCCTCGGGTTTCCAACCAATCCCCGTTGGAATGGAACCATCCACGAAGCTGACGATCCGTTCGTCGGACTGCCACCGGCGGACACCCCCCTCAGCCTCTCGGCCACCAAAAACGGTTCGCCTGTGGTTTGGAAAACGCCTCTGTCTCTGTCTCTGTCTCTGTCTCTGTCTCTCTCTCTCTGTCTCTGNCGTTGGAACGGAACCATCCACGAAGCTGACGATCCGTTCGTCGGACTGCCACCGGCGGACACCCCCCTCAGCCTCTCGGCCACCAAAAACGGTTCGCCTATGATTTAGAATACGCCTCTCTCTCTCTCTCTCTCTCTCTCTCTCTCTCTCTCTCACTCGGGGAGAAACCCCAGAAAAAAAAGGTCATCCGCAAAACGTGAGGGGCCGGGTCGTCCGATAGAAGTTCGCCCCCCTAGTTAACGTTGTGGTGGGAGGCATGCCGACAATAGCGGGACAACGAGCAACGAGAACTGCCTCGCTGTTCGCGTACGATCGCGTCCAGCCCTCCACTGCGCAGCAGTCTAGACCGCCGCGCGTGCTGGACGAGTCCCCGTTGCTTCTCCCATAGTCGTGTTCCTGCCCGGAGTTGCTTGGGTGCGCCAAGGCGGACAGGCACTGGGAAACGCTGTTGGCGTCAACTCATCGTGCTTGCTGCTGCTGCTGCTTCTGCTGCTCTTGCTGTCGACCTGCTGCACTTGAGGCTCCCCGGGCAGGGCCAAACGAACTCCACTTTTCCGCGAACGAGCATCGTTCCAAGGAGCGTTCCAAGACACGTCGACTCCTCGCTTAGTTTCTCTTTGGTCGGTTAATGCTCTCGTTCGTCACCCTGCCATGAGTAACTGGGGAGGTTCTCATCAGTAAATCAAAACATGATAACAGTACAACAGGACGCTAAGAATACAGGGTTGGATCAGCTTACCCCTATATAGAACCGTGGAAGGACTGTAAGGTATGGTAAAATTTTAGTCTTATTCCTGTCTTGGCGCACGTTCACTTGTGGGGCGTTCTATCTCGAGGTGTCTTGAGTCTGATTAAATGCTCTCAACGTATGCTACGCCTGTAGTGGTGTTCTCGCATCAGTTCATAGTTTTGTAGGGGTTTGCACAGGGTCCGACGAAACAGATTTGGTATTATGGGGTTGTGATAGCACTTGTATGTATATCTGACCCCGGAAGACAGACGTATACCGCCGGTTCGCGGAGGGCAGCACGGCTTGTGGAAGTCAGGACAACGGCGACGACCACAACGACAATAACGGCAACAACAACGCTGCGGACATGTCGGCATCCGTACGAGGTGCCTTGTCATCATAACACGCCACAAGCCCTAAGTTACTAATAGACGCCCGTGCGTGTCGCGGGTCAACCGAACGGCCGGCGAGAGAGAGAGGCCGAGAAGAGGAGAGAGGAGAACGGAGGAATGCCGAAAAACCAAAAGGTGTACCGCATGTTTTGTGTGTATGCTCACTGTACCTTCTTGAGCTGCCTCGCGATGAGTAGCCCTCCTTCTTCAGGACGTGCGCCTTGAGGCACTTGAAAAAATCTTCCAGATTTTCCTGAAAAGAACGGCAGGCATATGTACAACAAACCGCCACCAATAAAAGTCCCACTCCAGGCAGACGATGAGAAAGGGGACGAGTAGCAGCGGGCTTGGGGGAATGATGCACGACAAGCAGTCCTTCTGGCAGGTTATCGAGGCAGGCGACTTGATTTCTTAGACAACAAATCACAACAAAAAC